CCCCCCCCCGCCCCGGGTTGGGGGTGGCCTGTGGGCACCCGGATGGGAGATATTTAAGGGCATCCCGCCGCCTCTCCGGGCCTTTTCCGGTGGCGCTTCAGCCCCGCTCAGGGTGGGGACCGGAGCGGTGCCATCCCCCAGGCCGGTGCAATGTCACCGCTCGCCCCGTCACCGTCCCCATGGGGTCCCTGCTGGCCCTTCGTTAGCTGCCTCATTAGCAGTGGCCCAGGCCCAGGAGCAAAGGTGGCCACGGGAGCCGAGTGGGCACCATGTCACCCTCACGGGGGACGGGGACAAGCAGGGGGTGCCAACGTCCCTCCCACGCTGTGTGCCAGGGGGTCCCCTCCCCGTGTGGCCAGGCCGGAGGCCGGGGTGTCCCCAAGGGCCGGGTGCCCCTCTCCCCCCACCTCCCCATGGTGCCATGCACCAGCACTTGGCACCCTGGGGTGCCCCCACGGGTTATTTTGGGGCATGGGAAGTGGAGCAAATCCAGGCCCTTTCCCGGTCCACGGAAGTGTTCACGGAGCCGCCGGGGCGGCTCCCCAGGGAACGTTGCGCTCGTGATGCCCGTGACCGGCACGTGGCACACGGGGAGGCCCAAAGCCAAGGGGAGGCCAGAGGGGGCAGAGCGAAGCCCCCAACCTCCCTGCAGCGTTTTCCCACCCTCCCGGAGACGCCGCCACCGCCGGGCTCACCTGGATGGGCGCTGTGCTGAACTGGATCTTTCGGTTGGGGACGGGCTCCTCTTCCTCGGAGAGCCCGGGGATCTCCACGCAGCTGGACTCGGGCTCGTAGAGGCTGTCGGCCTCCTCGTCCTCCTCCAGCCCGCTGCCCCCCGAGTCCTCGCCGAGCCCGCTGTAGGCACTTATGTCCACCAGGTCCGCCTCGGAGAAGTCCTCCTTCTTGGACTCGTCGTAGAGGTCGCCCTCGTCCGCCCGCTCCCCCTTGGCAGCCTCCTCGAGGCCCGCGGCCTCCTCCCTGGCACCGTCCTTCTCCCGGCTGCCTTTGCCCGGCGCTTTCTCCTCCTCGCCCGGCCGCGGGCGGGATTGGCGCGCGGGGCCGGCGCCCGCGCGGCTCTCCGCGTCCGGCCCTTGCAAGAAGAGCCGCGAGCGCTTGCTCACCAGCTTGGCGTTGAGCGGCGCCGCTTTGCCCGGCGCCTTGTGCAGGTTGTTGCGCAGATCGGCCTTCTCGAAGACGGCGCTCAGCTGGCTCACGGTGGGCGACACGGCCTCCGTGTCCAGCTTGTCCAAGGACTCGGTGCTGCCGTTGAACTTGACGACGACGTCGAGCTTGCGGTCCTGGAAGCCGGCGCGCTCCTTGCGCAGCAGCAGCTTGTTGGTGCTCTCCTTCTCCTGCAGGCTCCTCTCGAAGATCTTGCGGGTCTCCTGCAGCTTGGAGAAGGGCTTGTCGGGCTTGGAGTCGAAGCGGCTCACGCGCTCGGAGACGCTGGTGCCCAGCTTGAGGGGGGCACCGTGCTCCACGCTGTCACCCAGGCTGCTGGCGCGGGGCAAGGAGAGGCGCACGGGCTTCTCCTTGGCCTTGGCCAAGTCGCAGGCGCCCTCGGCGCCCGGCGCCGTGCCCACCTGCAGGAACATGTTCTTGATCCGGTGCACGTTGGAGCCGTACTTCTTGCTGCGGGCTTTCTTGGCGTCCTCG